CCAGTTCGCTCCTCTCCAACTCCTTCACTGGTACACAATCCCCTCCCCTCCCTACACCTCCCCACTCCCACCCCAAGTATACTCCACTCTGCAACCCTCATTCCAGATCTTTCTTATTTCCTAATGTCCCAATTATATCGATATCATTTTTTAAATAAATGGGACGGAATTTTCCCATTGATTTGTAAAGCCATTAGTATGCTGCTACCACTTGTCTGACTGTATATTGTGGTTGGTGGCTCATGTGTTGCTACTAATGATTCTGAAAACGACACAGGACTGGACACAATTTCATTTTGTCACAAGGCTGTGATGAGTTGGCAATGATATGAAAATTAACAACATTATTATTCTGTATATTTATTTCTCATATGGGTCTATTCCTAGGTGTGCTTTCCTGATTTCTACATCAATCTCAGAGTATTTATTGGTTGCCAGTTTACAGCTACTGCAGTTAGGGAGCTGGGACAGTTTACTGGTAAGGAAACCCAAAGGTGCCAATCTATAGGTATGTAGTTCAAATGTACCAGCTGCTCCACAGGAGGAAGATGGGCAGTCTCCTCTTGTGCAATTAACCACCTCTGAAAACCTGCTGGAGGGTCTGTTATGAGTCAGTTCCAACTTGACAGCAGATAACAATGTTAGAGACAGTAAGTTTTTATATTGAATTTATTACTCTCTCACATTTATTCTAGAGAAATTTCTCAACCAACTTATCTATATCTCCTCAAATCTCAGCTTAAGATGTGCCTTACTTAGAAATTAACTTGAGAAGTTAATCTTACTATAATATTCTATTTTTTTCTGCTCTATAATATTTGATTTTATTGTCAGATGCTACCAAGTCAGTTCAGATTCTTTAATAACTTTATGGACAACTGAGCAAAGCACTGCCCAGTCGTGCATCATCAAACAACAGCTCTCTGTTGCATCCACAGTGTCAATCCATTTTGTGAAGGGTCCTCCTTTTTCATTGATCCTTTACCAAGTATGATGTCACTCTCTAGAAACCAGTCCCTCCTGATAATATGACCAAAGTATATGAGAGCCTTCTAAGGAGTTTCTGGCTGTCCTTGAATTTTTAACCGAATTTTACTATCTGAATAAAACAATTATGTTTCTCTAGTCTTCTATTATGTGCTCAAGTTTTGTAGTGTTCTACATAAGAGCTCTGTTAATTTATTTTACAGGCAGTCTCAACCGTATTTTATAACTCCTATTGCTTTCTGACACTAAGATTCTTCTCTCTTACACTTTATGACTGATAGTTTCTATGTGTGCTCAAGATCAAAATGACTAATAACTGATCCTTCAGGGGTTTTCTGAGGCTGTAAAGCACTTGAGAGGAAACTACCCATCTTTATTCCACAGCACAGTTAGTGGCCTCAAACTGTGTGACACTGGGTTGGGACAAGAGATATGGTAACTCCTTACGACTAGGCTATGAGAGCTCCCCTTCAGACTGATTAGGCTGGTCATCAAGTTGAAACCAACTCATAGTTGATCCTCCAGTGGGTTTTCAAAAGTCTGTAAATCATCTAGGAGGAAACTGCCCATCTTTCTAACAAGGAGCTACTGGTGGCTTGGAACGACCAAGAGTGTAACTACCTGTGGACTATGCCACCAGGGCTCTCTAAACCGGTATAAAGGGACCAAACCATATTGACAACATGTTTAAAATAGATGAGACAGATAAAGAGGACTCTGACTGTACTTTGTACAAAACAGATTGGTTCATTCTTCTAGTAGTCTATGTTATAGTTGACATTCTTCATCAAAACGATTATTCAAATGTATCAATTCTTATGTCATTTTTATTCACTGTCCAGCTCTCACACACATGAGGAAGTCTACTTTAGTCTGTTTTCTGCAAGAAAGGCTGTGTCACAGAGTATCATAGGTGTTAAAACGAGTTTTTTTTCTAATCCTGATACCACATTCTTCATGTAGTTTAGCTTCTCAAATTATTTATCAACATAGCTTGGATAAATACAATGAAAAGATATAAGCCTCAAGCATACCTTTTCTAAGTTTTCAACCATGCTATATTCCAATTATTCAGTTCAAACAACAGCTCCTTAGTGTTTATGTACAGGTTCTACACTAGTGTTACTGTGCTCTGGAATTACCACTTTTTGCACTAAAGTTTGATTCATTACTCACTCATTTCCAGTTTGGAACCACTTTACAGATGACTTTTCAGCAAATTTTCTGAGGCTATAGTCTGTACTGGAGGTTGGTCTTTTTCCTGAGGAGCAGCTGATAAATTTGTACCACTGGAGAAGCACTGCCTTTGGGTTTGCAGTGCATTTATTTATCCTTAGATTGGATTTACTAGCTATTATTTATTTTATCCAGATCACTCAAAGTTTAGCTTAAAATCAGGTTTTCTGTATTTTGTTAAAAAAGAGAAAGATATCTGGTCCTGGTACTAATACAGTTTACCTTCAACTCTTCCAGTATGTTACTGAGACAAGGAGATGTTTCTTTAGAAAGAGTGTAAGCAAATTCATAAAGGTTTTCAATGCATTTAACATGGGCATTTAATCAGCTGTGTTTCAAGACATATTTAGTATCAGGGAGGAAACTGGGATATTCTGAAGGAACTAAAGTCACAAGTCATTTATACTACTTAATATTGATACAAGAGTATAAAACATTCCACAAAAGTAAAATATATGCATGTACATTTAATCTAAAACACTAAGACAGACAAAGCTAACCAAAGGACCTCTGAAGCAAATAAAGCCTACGGGGAATTGAGTTGTTAGAATAATTAAATTAGATCTTCTACAGATTCTGGTGAATGACTGCACCTAAATGTTTTAGAACTAAAAGCAGCAAAGATGTCAGGCACAAGAACCACTTATTTTTACAGATATAAGTGACAAAAGTAAAAATTTCCTATCGTAATTAGAAAACACTGTTAATATCAGAACACAACATCACAAATTTAATGGCTATATATTCAGAAATTCTATACAGGTACACTTACAACTATACCTTTTTTTGTGATTTGTATAGCAAAGCCACCTCACTTAACAAGACTAAAAAAATTAAATTCATAAATGCATTTCCAAATAAAATGCTTAGTAACTTTTTCATTTTAACAACTGCTCTTCAGTTACCAGAATAAAATAAATAAAACTGGTTACTGAATCAAGTTTTAACTTACCCTGAAAAATCAGCAGAATATTGTCCATAATCAAAGATATATACTCTAGAAATTTGGCACATTGTGAGGTATCCCAAAGCAAACACAAAACAGCATCTGGAAAACAAAAATAAGTTAGATCAGTTAGGAGACAAAATTAATTTGTTGAACAGTACATGTTATTAATCATATTTTTTTAATTAAATAGAACTAAAGATATTCCACAAGTAGCTATCTTCAATAAATTATAAAAACTCGCATCACTAGCATCAGCTTTAATTTAATTTTATCACAGTCAAGGTTAATGTACTGAATTGCTATTTTATACATTGTATTTCTTTTATTTTATCATTTTTGTGTGAGTGTACCGTCAAATCAGATCTGACTGGTACAGGAGGAGATTGTCCCTCCTTCCCCGGCAGAGCATCTGGTGGATTCGAACCATGCGCTTCTGGGATTGTAGTTGCAACTTCTTACCAATAGGCCACCAGAGCCCCCCTATACATTGTATTTCTAGTGCACAGCACTAAACAGTGCTCCTGAACAGGAACCAGAAACAGCTGGTGTGGATTTTCAGGCTTCTACTATTCTTTCTTCCTAAAACATGGATTTTATAGCAAAAATTCAGTCAAAAGGTAACAAGCCAGAAGGCTAAGGACACATGTTGTATTATGTACTGTCTAGTCAGATCTGATCCTTAAATAGCTGCCCCTCTAGCCAGTTTTTTCTATTTTGAGGTATGCTGAAATAAATGGTGATGTCCCAATTTTTAAATTGAAACCTTCAATATTTTTTAAGTTTACACAACAGCAGAAGAAAAGACATATAAACCAATATGTGGAATATAATATTTACAAAGGGAAAGATCAAATGATCAAACACACATATATCTGACTGAATCATGGTCATTCAATCACTGAGCCCTCCCCAGTAAGGTGGCTGGAGTATAATTTCAAACTCTAATGTTCTAGCATGCTATACAATTTTATTACTAACAAATTCCACATATTCAAAAATATACTTTATTATAATTCTACTTATCACTGGCAAACATCTATCTGTACTCTGTTACTGACCATGTGAGTAAACAAAATTAATATATTTTTAATACAATTTTTTGTTTTAACTGATTTTAACAAAAGTTTACAGAAAAGTTATATTTTCATTCATTCACTGTTGCACATTTTTACCGCATCTCTCCCCTCACCCAGTTCAGTTTTGCCTTTTTATTTAAAACATGTATTCGTTGTTGCACAGAATGAATATATTCCAAGTGGCTGACATATAGAGGCAGCACCGGTGGCACTGTCATAGGGAGCTGCACTGCTAACACCTCTCTGGAATAATCAGTAATACAAGATGAAAAAAGCAGAATTTGTCCAGAGATGAAACTTGGAACATAAGAAGAAATAAAAAAGGAGGAAGAATGGATATAGAAAACTCAAGAAGAAAGTAGGAGGCCTGCTGTTACAAGGCAGAGATTATGACTAATGTCAACAAATATGCATATGAATAGTTCAATAGAATATCAATTTCTTCTGCAAGCTTTCATTCAAGTTACAATAGGTAAAAAACCCCACTCCACTAAACAAAAATACTGATGAGATGCTGAACAATTGTAATGATTAGCTTAAAATAATTTCTCTGTAGCTCTTGAAATATGATCCTAGATGTATATTTTGACAACTTATTATTACCTACAAGCAATTTTACTGTACATCCATGACTTTCACATTTGGCAGTCACTTATTTTGTGGAAAATTATAGGTCAAGTTATTTAAAAAAATAGTTCTTATTAGCTTTAAGGTTAACAGGCTATTTCCCTCCTTCTCAATTTAACTATCTCATATGTCTCGTTATACTTAAATAGTAGTTTTCATATTGTTGTGCTTCTAAGAATTTTTTTGGAACTCAAAACAAATTATTCTCATAAAAATACTAAAAACCAAAACCAGGTATGAATTGCCGTTAGGTTCTCATGCCACTATACAAAAGCTTATGTAGCACATAGAACATTTAGCCATGGAACCAAGACACAATGCTACCTCCTCTAGGAAATGCCTCCTCAATTCCAATTAAGTGTGCTGACAATTTATGTCTATTCTCCTTCCTCTTCTATAACCTCAAGGCAATAATTTCCCTACATGGAAGCAATTCTTTATTTCCATCCCTTCTGTTTCTACTCCTACCCAGGCTTCTCTGGCAATAGACACAAAATCACTTACTATATTCAGGCTACATGCTAACTACAAATATTTCCACACAATGCTCTTTCATGTCTTTATGTTTTCGTAGGTGTTTTTTCCTATGCTAGTAAAAACAAAACAAAGCAAACCCTCTGTCATCAAGTTTCTTCTAACTCATAGCACATCTCGATTAGACTTCTGAGGGTGTAAATCTTAACAGCAAGGGGCTACCTCATCTTTGTCATGTGGCATGTCTCGGCAGCTGAACCATCTGAAGCCCCAAATCCTGGTGCTCCTGCAAGTCTAGCTGCTCACTGCTGCTCACACCAAAATCAGATGTTCCGCAAGCTAAACAATCCAGCAATACCCTAAGAAACTTGCAGGC